TCATCACTTATTGTTTTTCATTACTTTTTCACTTTATAAATTATGGGGTTTAACACATTTATATTCATTTTTGTTGCTTTGTTGTGTTTATTTGAATGTGGTTGATCTTTAGTTGTTAAAGTTCCACAAACAAACATTTAATTATATTTACTGTAATTTTTGGCATAAACACAAACCGATTTGATTCCCCAAGTAACAGATTCAGTTACCAAGTAACTAAATCAAATCCTCGACCTTCACGTGTCAAAAACCCCCCCAAAAAATTGTCATTTTGTGTGAGATTTGAAATTCAAATGAAGTATTTTAAATTTAAATCTTATTGGGGCACACTGTTTTGGTAAATTTTCACATGCTCGACCGACGAAGATATTTCCTTTGACCATGACATCTGTAACCAAGATTCGTACGACGAACGATCGTGTTATCTACGATCATGGTTATCCATGACCATTAAGCCTTCGACCCTTGGTTGAGGATTATCTACCTCTGGATCCTGGTCGATAATTGTATATCCACAATCGAAATTTCCTTCGACAAGATATACTAACAGCACGTGTTTTTACATATTTATTATCGCAACCGTTATCTATGGTTTTTATTGCAGGATTAAAAACAAATGCAATCATTAACCATAGAAAATTATGACGGAAGACCAAAATCGAAGACATTCAAATACTAACAGTTTTATGCATTAAATGACATCTTAAGTCGATCCTTAGCCTAGTCCGACAAATCAACTATAAAAAGATTAGGAAGATCACAAGAAACACCTAAGAGCATCAGAATTTATACGCACACAAAAATCACTAGCAAGAACCAATTATTGTTCTTTGTTATTTTTCACGACCGACATGTTAAATCTCTTACATCATTGTAATTGTTCTCAAGGATCCTGAATGACGTCTATAGACGATCTTCTGTATTGTCCACGGTTTTTTCCCAGTTCAAGGGTTAATTTGTGTCATTGATTCCTTTGTCACATTTATCTTTGTTTTGTTATTTTCTTGTGTTTATTTCAAGCTGATTGATCTTTAACTGTAAAAACTCCACAAACAAACCTTCAATTATTTTCGATGTAATTTTTGGCATAAATAGCAAATCTATAGTCTCACAATATCATGAGTTGCAAAAAATTTCCCATGAGGTTTTAGTCGAAGGAATGGTGATATGTAAATAGTTTTAAATCTCAAAGGTTATTGACAAGCTCCCCAGCCTGGAAAGGTGCAGGTGCGTGGTACCATTGAAATTGAACTAAATTCAATTTAGATTGATATTTCGGAGATCGTGACTTATTTTGTGGAGCAGTTATTTTGTCCCGTGTATATACGATTTAGATTTCTTTGAAAACTAAGTTCTTTAAGCTTTCTTGAGAAACTGAGAATTAACATACGAAATTTAAGTGATGTGCAATCTAATCAAGAGAAGTTGTTTTATCCTACAAGGGATGTTGCTCCAATGACACTATTGCTAATTCTTCTAAGATAAAAATCACATGTCTAAAATTCAACGTCTCATTCTTTGTCTCACCAATATTAAAATTAAGAAACATTAGATTTTTATTTAATTTAAAGTTATTTAACACATATTTGCATTCTCTTTCTAATTATATGTATTGATGTTATATAAACAACCATGATAAAATTCAATATTAAATTTTGAGGTTTGTTGCAAATTTCATCTTCGTTATTATCATATCATGTGAATAAAAAGTAAGTGTTGAATAAGGTCGATACTATTAAAACTAGTCTTATCCCCGTTCGTTGGCCGGGTACATGACATGACTTTAAACAGATTCTAAACATCCCCGAAACAAAATATAAGGCATACCATACCATTGTTGGTAATTCTATACACAAACCTATACACTCGAATAGCTTCCTACTTTTTGCTGCAGTCTTCAAATTCTCCTAGAGAAACCATGTACGACAACCACTATAAATAAAATCTTGACTGCAATTGCAATGATTTTTTGAACCTAAAAAACAAAATTTGGTTGAAGCCTTATATGGTGCAAAGTGTTCAAATATACACCAAAGGTTTTCCTTGATTCATGAAAAGCTGACATATTACAAGATTGGAAGATTAATGGAATAATTAAGCAAAACATACAAAACAATTAGAACAAAAGCGTGGAAACATACGTCTTTTTTATTGATTCTTCTACCGGACAAACTTTCGAACACCTTGTGATTGCTACAGTATATGGAAAGATGGTGCCTAGTTGTTTTAATGAAAGAAACAAATCCAGCAAAACAAACGCATTTTCAGTCTCGGATAAATCCTAGGTAGCTCTCCGCACGTCAAGACTAAACTGGTAATTGGTCCAAAAGAATTATACTTTCCAAACTCCCATATCTTTATTTTTTCACTTCTCCAACTTGTGGAACCACCACACGAACTGCATAGATGGGGAAAAGGTCGAAGGTAGCAGAACCAACATGTGTATCTAGGGCCTAAACCTATTAGTGTCACAATCGACAACATTTAAATCATTGTTTATTAAATTCAAAAACGTCCCCATGTGCATTTGTTTGTTTATGTGACAAATTGAGTCAATAAAATACAAAATATAAGATAAAAGGATATAAAAATAGATGGGTACCCAAAGAAATTTGTGGGAAGTTGGTTCCAAAAGCCAAGAGTGTAATGTCTACAATTGTAAAATTGCATACATTTTCATGTATGACAATTTTTGTATTGGTAGTAGGATGAATCTCCACCACCATCTGAGTTTGTTGTACAATGGACCGAAAAAACCTTGCAATAATGTCCGAGACTCCAAGGAAACAATAAACAAGTGCTAGAAAATACGAAAATGCACAAACTCGTCTCTGATTAAAGTTTCACAATGGAAAAGAAATTTGGTTTTCACAGGTCTCGTCCACAATAAGGTTGTGTCTAATCCATTATGTTGTAACATTATGCACAAAGGCTATTTCTGATCAAATATCCTAGAGAAAGAGGAAGCTATGTTTAGTGAAACTTTTGAGGAGGGAATGATAGAAAGTGAATTGGCATGCCTTGAGAGTAATTGCACGATATCACCTTTCCTTTCTAATATCATGGTGATTGGGAAAAGCAGAGGCTTTAGTTGAATGTATAGGTGATGATATTTGGAGAAGTAGAAGCATATTCATCATTTGTGTTTGATTGTTGATATAACTGAAAGTCAATCTACAAGAGATCTAGATCATAAACTAATTGATTTATGAATTTAATTGATCAAGAATTTCTCTATACAAGTACAATTATCTTATTACAAATATTTGTTAGAAATTCAAAAATGTAAGTGTTTAATAAATTGTACATGATATAAATAAGGCTTGTATAATGAAAAATCAAAAATGAAAAATTAAAATAATAAAAATAATCCATTATGTATTTATTGGACTTATTTTGAAGGTACTGATGAGACGATTATAATTATATA